CGCGCCGTAAAGTTTAAGATCCATTGGGCCTACGGACGATATTATTCTCTCATTAACGCAGCAGCCGACGGTAATTAAGTCGCGCGCACGCCTCCGGGCGCCGCTGCCTCTACTCCCCCCCCCCCCCCCCCCCCACCCCCAACCGTCCACCTCACTCCACCACCTCCTCCCAGCGCTCTCGTTACTCGTCTTGCTGCTCGCAGATGAACAATCAAATTGACAAGCTGGTCGCGCGCACTCGGCGAAATTAAAAGGGCTCTCGGCCGCGGCGCTCGGCTCTCGGCGGAGAAAACACGGAGGGACGGCGAGCGGCCAACGGATCTCGACGACGGCTCGAGCGAGTCGTGTGCCGAGCGTGTTATTAAGCCGCAATCAGATCAAATTTACGGCGACTTTTAATACCTTCATTAAGGGCCTCACTTTCCGACGATTCGCTGAAAAATATCACAGCTCGTTTAATTTATCTTTAATGGCTATCTGATAGAGCTTTTTGTCTCGGTCTCTCGTCAGATTTATGGATTGTGCATTAATTTATATCTTTCGTTAGCTTGCGCCGCAAGGAGAAAAAGTGAGAAATGCCGCGCGCAAAAGTTGGCGCGCGCACGAAAACACAGCTGATACAAATGAGACAGTTAATTGAAGCAAATCGCGCTCATATGTAACCGCTTCTCGGTCTCTCGGTGGCGCGGCTACTTCGCTCGCTCTCTCTCCCTCTCCCTCTTTCCTCGCCGTCAATTTGCTCACCGTGGAAAATGATGCGCACTTTCACGCACTGCCGAGAGCCAATTGAGGAAGTAGCAGCAGCAGCGGCGGCGGCGGCAGGTGTATAGGTCATCCCTCAGCCTCTTTATGTGGCTTTCCCCTGTTTACACTATTCTAACGAGAGAGGCATACAGTGGCAATCAGCCGGCTACACTAATAACCTGGCAATCAGTCTGCGCGTGCTTTCGTCACAGCTGCGAGAAACGAAGTAGCGGCCGCGTTGGCTGCACTTTCACCGCGCGATCGAGCGACGAGCGCGGAGACAAACGAGCCCAGTTTAATTCAGTGTCGGCCTGCAGCAGTCATTTGTCGGGGGCCGCTCGCCTGGAATAGACGTCGGCTTTCTCCGGCATTGTGTCGCGTGTACGTACGCGTGCATTCGCGTGCGCGCCGCCCTCGATGCTAATCGAGAGGCTTTTCGGGCGGCCTTGCGCAAGGCGCGCGCATTCGCGGACGGATCGCCGATAGATCGCCGAGAGATTGGCTAATGCGCTCTCCTACCGTGCCTTTTCTTCGCATCTCCGCCTCCCTCGTGCTCGCCGCGAGAATCTATGGTTTTCGGCTCTCCGCGTTGTTCGACCGCGAGCTGCTAATTATTTTCCTCCGTTCTTCTCTGCGGTTAACGAATTCCCTTGGGCCCCGCCGTCGAGAGAGCCAACGAGAGTTGCGTCCATTGTCACGAAAACGTCGCGAAGAAAAGAAAGAGCGGGAATCGGCAAAAGTCGGTCGGAGAAGCGGGAAGGGGCAGGCCGGTCTCGCACGGTGGCTAGTCCGGTGGCGAACGATGAAAGTGCTCGTCGACGATTCGCGCTTGGAAATCGCCGGCGGATAAGATATCTCGGGAACAGGATGGAAAACACGAGCTTATCTTCTACCACTTTATCAAGCTCGCGCTTGTCGATCAACGCGCGAGCGCGCGCGCGCGCGCGCTCTGGACCATTGTCACGCGTGTATGACGCAAGAATCTCTCTCCCCCTCCGTCCGTCGCGCGCGCTAGAGTCGAGAGATTTATGACTAGGCGCACGCGCTCGCGCTCCGGCGCAACGGAGTAACGTTCGCTCTCGCTCCCCCGACCTTGCTGCGTGCTCTCCTCGCGATGAATTATCGGCAAAGCGCCACTCGATTTACGCGCGCGATATTGTTTACGTCAGCGCGGGCAACGGCTCGTGAAAATTTCCACGGCCGCCGGAATGTAGGTCGTCGAAGCCGAGGCGCGCGACGCTGATTTGTCCGGCCGCGATGATTTATCAATCATATCAGCTATCGCCCGCGAGCTGGCCGCGCACAAATCAATTAGGCGCATGAATAATCGACTCGTCACCTGCTTGTGAAAAGCCTCCGTCTCGTCGTTGAGCAAGCGATCGCAAATCACGATTGCCGCGGCTCGCATCCACTAATAGCGATTCATTTTCATTCGCGTACAACATTGAAGCGCGCGCGCGCGTGCACACACACACACCACACACACATCTGGATCCGCTTGCGCAATTGTGTAGCACCGTGTAATTAAGGGTTATGGCTTATCGAATTTCATCCAGTAAAACTGTTAATGGCTAGCTAGCCAGCTCGCTCGCTGAATTTCCTCGTTCGATAAAGTGAAAAATTAACGCTCGGCCGTTACGTAACAACGACGCATCGCAACAAGCGAGCGAGAAAACGAGTCGCGCGCGAGCTTTCGCAAATAAGTACCTTTATAGCGATCGGCCGCGGGGAAGGAAATCCACCGGGGCGGATTAATAGGTTGGAGATGATTTCGCGCGATAGTCGCAGCGGCGTGATGCAGCGAGAAAGCGACTCGTTCTTGCCGGGGCAGCGCGTCCGTCGCGACAGGTCGGCGCGGTCGACGAGGCGACGCGAGCTCCCGCGTCGGGGAAGCTTCCGCGCCGCGCTCGTCTCGTTCTACTTGCTCGCGCGGCGCCCCCTTGTAATCGGCTCGCATCCGTCAGATCTATTGCACACGTAACCTACAAACTTCTCGATAGCGCGTTCAATCAAGCGAGCGAGCAGCCTTAGCCTCGAGTCACGTTCCTATTAGGTCGAGGCGGAACACCTCGGGGGCTCTCGCGAGCGATATAATTGCGCGCGCTTTACTACCTCAAATTGAATTTATTGCCGACTGAAATGAGATCGCGGCTCTCTCTCTCTCTCTCTCTCTCTCTCTCTCTCTCTCTCTCTCTCTCTCTCTATCTCCCTCTCTTTCTATACGTGTGCGCTACGTGTGTTTACACGCCAAGCTCGTTTATCGCGCGCTCGGACGCACGGGGACTATCTCTTTTTTTGCCTCTATTAATTTTCGCGACACCGCGGCTCCGCGAGAAGGGGGCGTGTACCGCGCAACGCCCGACTGATTAATATCGATCTGTCCCGCGTAATACTTGGCCAATCAAGATTTTTCCGCGCCGCCGCTGATGAACGCTCGCACGTGTCGCGCTGCTTTCCAAAGGCATACTCGAACGATGATTAATTAATGGCTCGCGATCTGTTCCAGCCATTTATTACTTTTTCTTCGCGCGCCCGCAGGAAGATTAAACGATGGATTTACGCGCGTCGGCGTTCAAGCGGAAATGGAGCATGGAAATTCTGTTGGAAATGTCATTGCACACTGATTAGAAGCAGAGTAAGGCGGAAGAGCGGCAAGCGAAGAGAGAGGGAACGCAATAAAATTAGTCAGGGAAAATAGGAGGCATTACTTAGAGAAAAGTAAATCCATCAACGTCACGTCGTTTAACCGCATCTCTCTCTATCTCCCGCTCTCGCGCGCGTGTACACGAGAGTCAACGACACTAAGTACCGGCGATCCAAAGCACATAAACGCATCCAAAAAAGAGAGAGAAAGAAGAGCAGTCACGCGTCGAACGCGTATACATGTATATACGTATTTTTCCTCGAAATTACTGCTTCCGGTCTGCGATGCATCTTCCCCGTTGAAATTGCCGTAGCCCGCATTGCACTCGTAAATAACTTCGAAAGAGAGAGAGGGAGAAAGAATCAGCTGCTCGAGAAAATTGCGGAACCGGTATGTGTCTCCTCTTCCTTTTGCATCCGATCGGCGAAGCGGGCGAGCCTGACAATGCGCCAGACTGCACGGTTATTTGCTGCCCTCGAGATTCGGTCGTCGTCGTCGTCGTCGTCGTCGTTAATGAGAGGCGGCTCGCGCCAGACGAACTCGCCGGCGCCTTCGGATTTTTCGCGCTGGCAATTTGTCACGCGGCGCGCTCGCGGCGCAAATTGAGAGCATCTGTTACTGTTGCGCGCATAATTTGCATCGTGCCACAGCAATTACCGCTCGCGCGACGTAATGATGATAGAGAGACTTGGAAATTGTTCATCCGACGTGCAGGCAGCGCGGCGTGCCCCTTATCGATCACCGCCACCGAGCTCAATTCAATCGACAGCGGCAGCGGCGGACAAAAGAAAGAAGCTCGGCTGCCTAAGCGATAGACTCGTCAGGGCGCAACGCGCAGCTCGACAGCACCTAATTACTGGAAGCTCTCTCGCGCGCTCGAGCCGCGATCTCGAGAGCAACGAGCAAGAATGGAGTCATATTTCGCGTATCGGCGATCTCGGCTTTTTGTCGGCTCTCTCGCCTGCCGGCGCATGCGCTTGTTCGCGCGCTCGGGGGGAATAGACGCGGCGTCACGTGTGCCCCGCGCGCGCTTCCGCCACAGGTGGGGCTGCGTATACACACGGCCACGCGCGCTCGAGCTGGCGAACGGCACCCGAGCTGCCGCGGAATGCCGATTAGCGTTTTAATGCGGAGTGCCGCGCGACGCGCGCACAACCGGTCGCTAATTAGCCGCGCGCGAGCGACCGGGGAAGGATATATCTCGGCGCGATGTGCATCATAATATCGCAGGCGCGATGGAGAGATCGGAGTCCGTCGCGTCGAGCTCGCCCGTGCACGCGCGCATCCGTTATCGCGCCGAGCGAGCCTCGCGTTCATTAGCGACGTTTGTCAACTTTCGCGAGACCGTCGTCTCGCGCCGGCTCGCGTTTATTGGTTGCGCGTCTCCCGGGAAAAGTAATTCGAGCTTGGCGGTATTGGCACCGAGTCGTCTTTGATTGCGCGCCCGATATTGGGACTGGTACACATAAAGTTTTTACGAGGCTTCGCCGTGATTCAGCCAGCGAACGAACGTGCATGCACGCGGGGACCGTTTCCGCTTTGACATTCATGTCTCGACGTTGACGCCGCTGCGCCTGTTATAACCGTAAAATTGGGTCTGGTGTGCTTCCAGATGGAGCCTAGACGGTCAGCGAGATCACAGCAGCAGCAGCAGCAGCAGCAGCAGCAGCAGCAACAGCAGCAGCAGCAGCAGCAGCAGCGGCGGCAGCGGCAGCAGCAGCAGCAGCAGGAGCAGTGCGCGGAGCTGCCGAGTATCGCGGGCTTGGATCAATAACAGAGGAGAGTGAGGTGGCGCGGGCGCGAGCAACGACACAACTATCACTTGGAGGGAGGAAGCGGCGGTGCCGGCTGGTGGTGGTGGTGGTTCGGGCCGATGGCTGCGACCGACGGCCAGATTGTCGTGGCGGCGGCCCGCTGGGCTGACGAGGCCACCTACCTGCGCGACTTCGTGGGCAAGTACCGGCTGCCCGCCGTCATCAAGATCACCAAGGGCCAGTACGGCGGCCTCGGGGTGCCCACGCTGCCGGCGCCGAGCCTGCAGAGCACCGCGCTGCTCGTGTCCGCGGGCAGGCGGCGCAAGATCGTCGCCCAGGCCGTGAAGATCAAGGTACGGCGCGGCCGGTCGGCGCTCGCCGCGCGCCCGCCGCCCCGGCGGAGGCGCGCGCGGCCGGCGCCGCGCGGCCCGCGAGCCACACTGACCTCGCACGCTTGCCGCACGCGCGGAGCAGGAGGGCCGCCAGGTGGTGGGAGTGGGCCCCCGCCTGGCCATCCCCGACTCGTACGTGGGCTACTTCGAGATCCTGAGCGAGGAGGGCCGAGCAGTGCGGGGCATCGAGTCGGTGAGCGAGCTGGCGCGGCGCTGCCCCGAGGAGGGCGCGCTGGTGCGCGAGGCCGTGCGGGCGATCGCGTGCAAGCTGGACGAGGCGGGCCTGGTGGTGCCCGAGGGCAGCCGCACGCTGGGCGCGGGCGAGACCATCGCCGTGGCGGGCGAGCTGAGCCTGGCCGGGCGCGGCCGGTTCCTGCGCTGCGTCGACTGCCGCGGCGAGAGCGTGCTGCTGGCCATGGAGCAGCGCGCGCGCTTCAGCGCGCTGGCCCGCGAGGAGAACATCAGCGGCGTGCACACGGCCCGGGCGCTGCTGAGCAAGCGGCTGCCGCTGACGGTGCGGCTGGTGCACGGCCAGCCGCCGCGGGGCCTCAAGTCCTCCTCGCAGTTCCTGCCGGAGCTGCGGCTGCTGTCGAGCTTCGAGGAGGAGCACGTGTTCGCGCTGCCGCTGCAGCGGGAGGGCGCGGCGGTGGCGCTGCCGCTGGCCGCGCCGCTCAAGCTCGTCAAGGCGAGGAACGACGAGGCGCTGCGGGCGCTGCCCGAGTTCGGCAGGCTCGTGGAGCGGGCCGCGCGGCTGGTGGCCGACGTGGCGGACAGGTGGGCGTCGCGCCCGGCCCGCGGGCCGCGCGCCCCGCGCTGCCCGCCTGACGCTGCGCGCTGTTGCAGGGCGCACGTGCTGGACGGCCGGCTGGGCGAGAGCAAGCCGTCGCGCGGCGCGCGCGGCGGCGGCGGTGGCGGCGGCGGCGGCGGCGGCGGCTTCCTGCGGCGCTCGGCGAGCTCCGACAGCGCGAACGTGGCCCACCACCGGCACCACCACCACCACCACCACCACCACCACCACCACTACCAGCAGCAGCAGCAGCAGCAGCAGCAGCAGCAGCACGGCGGCCCGCCGGCGCACGGCTACCGGGACGAGAACCGCGTGCCGCCGGCGAGCTACAGCGAGGAGTACAACGAGATCGACCAGATCTACGACTACGTCAGGGGCTTCGCGCCGCTGCCGAAGAGCGCCAGGTCGCCCTACGAGAGCGCGCCGCTGTCCGCCCAGCAGGGCGCCAACCTGGTGAGTAGCGCGCGGGCGAGCCGCGGCCAAGTGCCAGTCTGCGAGCCGGCCAACTGTCCGCAGGCGAACGCGACGCTGGCGCCGCTGACGGTGACGATCGGGCCGCTGCTCGACGACAGACCCGAGCCGCCGCCCATCGAGACGATACCGACCAAGAAGGCCCAGGCGGAGAAGCGCACGCGCCGGGCGGTCAAGGAGCAGCCGCTGGGCAGCCAGCAGGCGACGGCCACGCGCCTGGACAAGCCGCCGCTGGCCAAGCTCTACGTGAAGAACAGCGGCACGCAGCGCGGTCGGCCGCTCATGAGGCAGAAGAGCGCCTCGCCTCTCAAGGAGACGCCGCCGGGCTTCAAGGGCGGCTCGCCGCTCTTCAACATCCGCTACAAGAGCCTCACCAACCTGCAGCAGGCCATGGAGCTGGACGGCACGCTCGACTCCAGCCACTCGGGCGGCCGGACGTCCGGCGACTCGGGCGCCGGCGCCAAGCTCCCGGAAAAGAGGTAGCCACGCTTTCTCCGAGCGCCTTCTCCGACTTTACCGTGCTTCATCATCATGCTCTGATTTAGCTTGCAATACGGGGATATCGGGCGCAATGACAGACACCTCATCCGCAGGTTTATCAACAGAAGTTTCTGTCCGATTTTGATAATGTCGAGGAAAAGTAGGTTCAACACTCTCGCATGAACAAACGTGCAACCGTAGACTTGCTCTTTTCACTTTTAGTTGAACCGATTTGTCCTTATTTTCCATTTTCCGTAGTACGTACGTAGGCTAGACTATGTGGATGTGAATTGCCAGACGTACAGACGTACGAGTAGCACTAGAACAGCCGCGACTGTGCTCCCGTGGAAGCGGGCCCGAGTAAACGAGGCATGTGCTCATTTTTGTGGCAGATCGCGGCGACTGAGCAGACCGCGCTCCCTGACGAACCTCGTCTGGGAGCTGCGCAACGGAAGCGCCCGACCGGAGACGCCACCAACGGCGCAGGTCGCGCCGCTGCCGCCGGCAAAGTGCGGGCCGCGCCTCGCCGTCACCGTCGTCGCCCCCAGGCGCGTCGGCACACTCTACCTCTAATACGTAAGTATACTTGCGAGCGCTGCCGTGGTTTTTCGTCCGCGCGCGCGCGTACACGTGTCGCGCTATCGACGCCAGACCATTGTTCGACGCCCGGCTGGCGCGATTGAGCAAATTCAAATTTAATTGCAGTGGCGGCGGTGGCAGCCGCGTTGCGGCTGGACTACAATAGCGAAAAATTTTCGAACTGCACAATGTTACATTGTGTTTATGGCACGCTAGAGGAAAAAGCTTTTTCGCCGAACGGAAACAATAGACAAGCGCGGAGCCGCCGCTCGAAGTAGTTGGAAATCTAACTAGCCGCGCGCGTGCGTACGTGTGTGTAAGTCCGATTGTTATCGCCCGACAAAACTTTACACTTTAGATTCCAAATGCGTCAGACACGACGATACACTTTGCTCGCCGCCGCAATTTTCCGCGTCGCTTACTCGACACGTAAAAATAGCCATGGAAACGGTATTTGCCGCGCTTACACGATTCAACGGCAACAACAAAAAGTAACGAAACCTACGCTCTACGCGTTCCCCGACATCGTACTTTGCCTATAATACGAGTGTTCCTGATTATTTGCTTTCTCTTGTTTTCAATCTCCGAGGGTTGCGGAACGAGTGACTCGATCGGGAATCCGCGCGAACGCGCGTGCCATTAAATAACCGAAGCTTGCGCAACCAGTGCTCGCGCGAGGCGCGAGGCGCGAGTCACTCGCTCGGCGCCGGGGACGATAATAAGACTCGGTCCCGCGAACGCGAGCAGCTGGGCGATCGATTATCCGACGGCAGGCGCGTATCGGTCTTTCGCTTACCGTCGCTCCTCGCCAAGCTGCGGAGCATGCGATCGGCGAGGAAACGAACAAGCCAGTGGAGCTCCCGTTCCCATGCGGCCGCGTGTAAATTAACGCTCTCGAATGCTCGAAACGAATGCGAAACAGCACAAGACTCAACGGTCAGCCGAATAACGCTGGCACGGAGTGCATAACGCCGGGCTGTTCTCGGAAATTGGCTCTTGCCACGGGTGGTACTATGACCCAGATTTCACAGCCAAGATTGCGCGGGGCCCGTTTATTAAATTATTTGACGGGCGTCGAGCGCCCAGCCGCGATAGATGCATATCGGCCCTGACAAACGACCCTGATTACTTCACCTTGTTCTTTCGCGGACAGGTCTCGTCGACCGCCGGGTTTCGCCAAAGCACGCGGACCCCCGTGCAGGGCATGCCAATGGCAAACGCTTGTGCGAGAGCTGCGAGAGCTGCGTGACGTAACAGATAGTTGGCGCGATTGTTCGGCTGTTCTCTTTCCTTTTTTCCCCTTTTGATCCGTGTTCTCGTCGGCGTATCATAGCCGTAGCCATTTCGCAGAAGAGCAAGCTCGCTTCGCCGACGAAAACGAAATGAAAAAAAAACAAAAAATGCTCGTCTCAACAGTTAGATAAGGAGCACGCACGACAAGAATCGCGCTCGTGCGATTAAAGGTTCCCGCGTAAACACGTTGTATTATTACTCGCTCTCTCTCTCTCCCGCGGCTCGCCGAGATCGCAGGCGCTCCGTGTTGTGGGAAAGCAGCGCGCGGCTATGTGTGCCAAGTGCGCGAATTTTTGCGCGCAAGGCCGCGTGAAAGTGTCGGCGGCGAGGAGAAAGAATGGGCAGAGGCGCTCGCGAAAGTGCTCGACGAGGGCCGGTCGGCGCGATAAATTTCCGCGGCACTGTCCCTCGTCGGCGGAGTCCGCGCAGCAGTCGCAGTCGAGTCTAGCCGCGGCGGGAGCGGGAGAGCGAGAGCGAGAGCGAGAGGGAGAGGGAGAGGGAGAGCGCGAGGCGAGCGATGAGTCTGCCGATAAAAAGCGCAGTGGCGGCGACGGGCGGCGACGGGCGCCGGCGGCAAGCTCTTATTATTCAATATCGAAAACAAACAAAGCCTTTCGCTCTCACCCCCCGGGGCGTATTGTCGCGACGTCGGCCGCGGCGCGCTAGTCCATTGCATGCAAATGCCGGTAGCCCTGCCTGCGCGCGCCCGTGCCATTGTCTGGCGCTGCGACGCGCTACTATAATACTCTCTCCCACCCTCTCTCCGGCTTCCCTCTTTTTTCACCCATTTACCTTATGGCCCTCATTGTCTGCACCGCTTAATTTTCCCTTCGTTTTTTGCTCGTTTGTCCGCGCTATCCGCGGCCAAATGTCGCGCGCTTGCCTTTTTAGGAGCAACGCGCGCTCACGCGTGCAGGCGCGCGCCCACGCGGACAGCCCGAGCACATCTGCATCTCTCCGCATGGCGCGTGGGCGCGGCGAATTTATTCGAGCGCGCAGCTGTGTAGCCGAGAGGAGATTTCGGAGCCGCTGCACCGCCGCGCTGCGCCCTCTTCCGCTTGTTAATGCGCCGGTTTTTCCCATTAGATTTGCTACTGAGTAATTGGCCCGCGCACTCTCTCGGTCTTTCTCGGTTGGACAAACGACTTATTCGCCACGCGACCGAGGAGAGAAGCATTGTCGTGGTCGTCGCGGGCTTTCGAAAGTCCCCACTGGATCGATCAATGAAACCCACGCAACAAGAAAAAACGCCAATAAATCTCTTTGTTGGCTGGTGTACAGAGGATCTCCTGGAGTTGCATGGCCGCCCACGCTGCTGCTGGCGCTGCCGCTGCTGCTCTCGATAGCGATCGTTCTTCGTCCCGTACGAATCTCACGAGGAACTTGTCCTCTCCGAGGAGATCGGTAATTGGTTTATCGCATGTAGCAGCAGCGGCAGAGGCGCAGCTCTCTCTCTCTCGGCTTAATCGTGGGATCCCAGCCTCCTTCTACATCCCCGTAGCCACGAATTAGTTCTTCGCTAAGACTCCTATCGCTGCCTAGGTAATGACGTACGCGTTCCCCTCTCGAGCGCCACTTTTTTCCCTCTGCCGCTTTAACGAGAGTCGAGTGCAGGCGACTTGGAATTTTAAGGGCTGCCTGCTCTTCCTTCATTTTCAGCAGATACTCCGAATACACTCGGCCCAATTATTACATGCTGCGCGCGATCGCTTTTCTATGCCTACTCTCTCTCCCTCTCTCTCTCTCTCTCTCTCTCTCTCTCTCTGCTGATCTCAGAGCCGAAAGCAAACAGCTGCAATTTGCAAAAGTAAGCGGCCGAGCTCATTACTCGAGATGTCACATCTGCCGAGTATTGATCGTCCATATCGGAAATCGCAACGTCGTCCACGGCTGGAGAGCGGCGGACAGGGAAAGAACGCGCGATACTTCACCTGCGCATTTACTCTGCCTCGTCGACGCGGACGGCCGAACAGGCGAACATAGGTGCGGGATCACAATAATTTATTCGTGCCGCGAGCCGATTTACTTTACGCTGTTGCCGGGTAGTTTCGACTGGCAACTAACCGCAGCTTGAAAACGTAATGGCTTCTCGATTCCCCCTTTTCCAGCCTGTGCACCACTCTCTGGTTACATGCCCGCGGAGCGAGAGAGAGAGAGAGCGAAAAAAGGCCGCTCGTAAACCACGCGCGAGAAGCACTTAAAAATGCTCTTCCATTCAAATTCGCCAGCGGAGGCCGCGTACTACCCTGCGCAGCAGCCAAAGCTACTCATTTGCGTATTGGCGCTTTTACGAGGCCAAGCGGCGTATGACCCTTGTAACGCCAACCGTCGTGAGGAAAAACAAAGTCGGACTCCCAGTCAAGTTTACGACGAACGACGAAAATTCTGCAGGCGCGTACTATCGTCGCGCGCGGCCCAATCGCGGATATCGGCAGCGACGGTCCAGAGTCGTCGGCAAACAATGACGCAGCTCGACGAGCTACTGCGTTTACGACGGGAAAGTGAACAGGGCGAGCGAGAGAGGCAGATATACAGTGGAAATCTCATTATACGTGGACGAGCTTTACGAGCTTGACGTCGTTAACCCATTTAGGTGAGGGTCCTCTCTTCGTACGCACACGCGCGCAGCGTTTATACATACGTGCACGCGATTGAATCGTCAAACGGCATGTTTACGATGAGGCCTGCCGCTGAATTACGAGCGCGCTGCTTTAATTGCGTTATGCCGCGATTTTATCAGTGTTTTTCCGCGGCAATCGACGGGACCCGAAATCGTAAACGCGCAGCTTTAGGAGCTATATAGCCGAGGTTTTTGCGCAACCGCGCTGCCACAAGTGTTTACGCTATGGGGAATTAATAGCACGAGTAATTACTTATAACCTCGCGGCCGAGCTAAGTAAGCAAGCTGCTATCAAGATCGAACTTTTATTGGCGAGTAAAAATTGCAAGGAGTAAAAGAAAGGAGAGGGTAAGCGAGCAAAACAAAGTGCTCGTTACACATACACGCGCGCGCGAGCGAGCGAGCGAGCGAGCGAGAGGAAGAGCGTATCGGCGCATCAATACGCATAAAATGTAACATTCCAGCGTCTAACAAGAGCTTGTACGCCGCGCGGAGTCTTATAGTATTGGGGCAAGCGACCGATAAGCGAGGGCTTCGATCGGAAAAAGGAAACGAACAATCGGATGGGTGAAGCCGCTTATCTTTCTCGCTCTTGCACTCTGTTTTCCCTTAGCTCTTCGTCCTGAAAATAGATCCTTGCGCTATCTACCCCCTCCCCATTGCCGCTCCTTCTTCTTGCTCCTCTTTCGGCCGACCGGCAACATTCCCGCGGCCGCTGGCAAACGTAGACCCGTTCGCGCGACCGAACGCTAAGTCGACAAACGTTGGGCCGCGTAGGAGCCGTGGCAGTCGGTTACGGGGGAGCGAGAGGGGCGGGAGAGGGCTGGGGCGCTCGATCAAAGCGACGACACTGCGACTTGCCCGGACGCGAACGACGGGGGCTCCGTGGCGCCGCGAGCCGCGAGCCGCGAGCCGCGAGCCGCGAGAGAGCCGGCTTGGCGACGACCAGAGCACTTTTCCCACGAGGCGCGCCTCGCGCGCGATCGCGTCGGAGTCGTTGGACGATCGGCAATCATCTTCTCCGCGCGCCGAGCCGCGAACGACGGAGGAGCGAGGCGGAGGAGCGAGCGAAGAGGCAAGAAGA